CCACCCTGAGGAGGAGACTCTTCACTTGCCATGGTAGCATTCTGCAGTGGAAGGCAAAGAAGCAGCCCAGCACTGTGTCTCTTTTGGCTCCCTCAAACACATGGAGCAGGCTGCTAGGGGAGATGCCATCCAGCCCTCTATGCTCCTTTCATGCCTCTGTGCAGAAGACCCCAGCTGGGCTGTCCACCACCCTGCCCTACTGTTCCCTACCAGTGCAGCACGGGCCCACACCGTTCCAGCTGCAGCAGAGGGCGCTACTTGGGGTCCCTGGCAGGTTTCCCTCCTCAAGTGAGCCCAGTTTCCCTTGACAGAGAAGTACAAAGAAGCAAGAGGGGACACTGAGGCGGGGAAAGGGGTGAGGGGAGCCCTCACCAGCCCAAGGCGCTGCATTCACACTTCACTGGCACTGGTGCTCTATTGGCAGTCCCCTGCAGACCAAGCACACAGACACTTGACCCTGGGAAGAGTCAGGGAGAAGTTTGTTGAACACTGCTGTGAGTGCGCGCATGCGCGGTGCTGGGGAAGGGAGAGCCGCCAAGGAATAAAGGCTTTGCAGGGAAGGGAAGAGGGGGCCGCGGGGGGGGGGGGGGGGGGGGGGCAGGAGGAGGAGGAGCTCTGTACTTCACGAGTCCCACTTCAGAAACACAGCCCAATCGGTCTGAGGATATTTTTTTTAAGTGGGGGAAGGGACGGTTTGAAAATGTAAATCTGAGGGGGGAAATATATTAAATCTTTTTGCTGAAAATGCAAAATGACCTTTGCATAGGTTCTTTGGGATCTCCTAGCAATCTTACGGTGAAAAGCTGCTATTGGTTGATGCTACCAGAGATGAAACATACCCTGCTCCTGTCATAATGAGAAACTACCAGAAAAAATATAAGTGAATAGAGAAACCATTAATCAGCTGTAGGAAGCTATCATGACATATCTGCTGTGTTTCTGCGTTTGCCTTAAAAACACTTTTTTTGCTGTTACGTAAACTGAGCTCAGTTCACAAGAAACGAGGGGTTTATTTTAGTCGGTAAAAAGGATTTTCACCCTGGGGTACGAGATTTGTTCAGGAGGTTTGTTAACTTCACGCAAGATTTCTAATCACTGTCTTAAGTAGTGTCACGGTTCCTGCTATTGTAACCAGATAAGGACTGCACCATTTTTCCGTCTAAAAGATTGTTACCAAAAGCTCGAAAGGAGGACTTGCTGTGCGTTGACTGATGCTGCTGACTGATGCTGCAATCCCAAAGGAAGTGAGCTAACGGCGTTTGAATGATTGGTGAAAACACCACCCGGACAAATATGCTAAACAGCAAGTTACCTGCATGAAAAACAACATGACTTTGTGGTTGCATCCCCCGCATTTAAATGTCAAAGAAAAAAATGTGCTGTACACTATTTCGCACCTTACTATGGCTAATTCTCTTCTACAAAGACAGCGAATATAGTAAAACACCCTCATGTTCTCAGTATGCACGAGATCTCACTTCCATTAGAAGCCACAGTCAAATTGCCATTAATATTCAGTGGAGCAGGATCGGGCCCAATATTATCTGTCTTGTCGCTATGGAACATCCTGTGTACTTTACCATAAATGGTCCCGTAGCCTTTTGGATCAAACTTTCTGTAACTTTCAAGGGACGAAAACAAGCCTTGTTAAACGCCGGAAGGAAGCGCTGCTTATTATTCAAAGACTATCGTTAGAAAAGGGCCAGTTGTACCGATTCAGCCCGAATCACAGTTTGGCTCTATATAACGAAATTAAATTCAAGTTCCCTCGCTAGTTTAGTTAAAACGAGGCTCTCTTCTTTCCTCGACGACTTTCCGTGAATTTTTGTCAGTTTGGATTTAGTGTTTATTGCAAGACGGTGACATGATACCCCAGGTATAAAAATAAAAAATAATAAAAAAAATAAAAAGTCTCATCTTGTATCAGCTGCCTAAGCACGAGCTATTAGACATATTACAATACATGAGCTATTAGACATATTAATCCACATTACACAATTATATTTTAACTGAAGACTTATGCCTTAGAAAGGTAAATTGACTCTCAGTACCTATCAGGGATAATATGAGGTTATAATTCAAATTTAAACTGTATTTGTCCTGGACATATTTTAAGGGATTGGGTGGGAAAGATGTTCCTCAACTCATAACATGTTTTATGTTCTACCTGATGCTGTTTTGTAATTCTGCAGAGGTTTCCACTTGGCATGTTGTGAAGTCTTTGCCTCTGATTAGCAATTTGCACCCATCACTAGTCATGTGAGTCGTCATCCTATCCAAATGAGGGGTTTTTTAAATGGCTTATTCTTTCAATAGACTTTCAATATATTTTAATGGCAATTTGAAAACCTCTGCCCCTCCTTTTTTTAAGAGATAACATCAGGGTCAATATTTTTAATTAAACTCATTCTTTTATGGGTGTGAGTCACAACAACGTTTCCTCTCGTCGTTAAATAAATAAATAAATAAATTTAAGAATGTTTGTGAACATTGTAAGGGATATAGAATCTTTCTGGCCTTTGTTTAAAAAGTAAGATTTGTGTCCCCTTCCTGAATATAGTCTCCACATGCCGTCTTGAGCCAACCGAATTATCTGTGCTTTCTGTTTCACAGTTTCAAGCCATCCCGTTGGACCCCATACTCCTATTTGAAAAGATGTATAATGAGAGTCTTTACCTATGACAGCAACATGAAAAAGAGAAGGGCTGCATGAGCCATACATATGGCAGGCAACTGGAAAACTCAATACTGTACTGGTAGTTTTAATACTGGAAACTCGTGCGACCCTTAAGCAATTACATATTGATTTTTCACCACCCCTCTTTTAATCATGCAATATAGTTCCTTAGCTAGGTACTTTTAATGGAGTTTTGAAAGAATCAGATGTTCATGTCTCTTCCAAACCACGTTTTTAACCTCTACTTAAAAAGTTGCACAACCAAAATATTGCTGTTATTGTCTAATTTTAATGCGAGTAGGTTCTATTACAGACGTCAGAGAGGGTATTAATAGGATGAATATATGAAAATTCTCCCCACATTTTAGGTTTTCTTCGGGGATGAGAGTCGTGGAAAAGGAGGAATAAAGCTGCTGATTCCAATCCTTCTGCGATTAGCAAATCGGGTTTATAAAGTCATGTAACTCAGAGAGGTGGTGCCACAGCTATATTTTCTTCAGTTAGGAAAAGCAATTATCTTTATGGATGATTAATAGCTCAGTCCAATTCAACCTTTCAATGTGTCCCTTCTCGCACTACTAGTTTTAATTGTTTTAATCTGACCTTTATTAATGTCTGCCCTTACAATGGAGCCCAACCAGATCTGTACAACATAAAACCAAACACTCATTTCAAACGGGAGAGAAATCACTCTCCCTCTGTCAGTTCCCCGCTCTGGCTTTACTGGAGGCGTTGTGTAGGCTATCCCTACCAGCATGAACTGGTCCTGGAAAGCACAACTAACGAAACACTGACAACTCACCCTTATGACGTGAAGGGGAGACAGAAACCAGGGACAGATGTTTTGCATTGTTGCAGCTCTTTGTGTTTATTTTCCTGGAGCAAGGGCAATGGATGTCGCAGCAGGGGTTTTGAGTGGAAGATTAAAAACATCCTCATGGTTTGGAGTGGGGTGCAAGATGACAGGAATCAGGACTGTCTCGCGCTGAGTATGTTTAGTCTTAACTTGTTAGCATTTCCTCACTCGATTTACCATCCTGGCTACTTGAGATAGAAGGTACTGGTTGTGTGCTGAAAGCTAAAGCATGTGCATCTCTCCCTCTGCCTGGGTATTGGTCCCCATCGCTCTCTTTCTGTATTACCTCGACTACACTACGGGGATTTCTTTTAACTATCTACATATCAGTTCTAATACGAGGTCATTTTAGGAGCCCTTATGTAGATGATCGCCTAACCTCCCTCGGAATCTGATGTAAAACACCGGTGTCCTTCTGCAGTAGGACGCTCCAGGCAGCTCGCACTGGTGACGAGGAGCCTGGGGTGGGAAATATTTGCAAAACGTCTCTTATGTTTCTCCTGGAGCCGGATTCTCGTGGTTCCGCAGCCAAGGAGCGCGTGGCACAGCTGGGAGCCGGGATGCTTGTGTGACTGTATTTAGCCCGTCCTGAGTATGGACCTGCTTTGCGAGGGGCTGGGGGAGGAGGGGGCATTTCAGCCAGCTGCCAATGGCCCGAGAGCTCTTAGGGCAGCCTGGGCTAGCGGGGTGCACAGCAGTCTTGAGCGCCCGCTCCCCCCAGTCTCCAGCCCCGCCCTACACACTGGCAGCGTGGCTCCCGGCGCTCTGTTACGCTGGGGCTCTGCGCCATTGGAAGGTGCGGTGCCCCCATGCTCAGTCTGTGGTCTGCCTTCAGGACGGCTCTGCGCCAGCCCCCAAGAGCTCTTAGGGCAGCCTGGGCTAGCGGGGTGCACAGCAGTCTTGAGCGCCCGCTCCCCCCAGTCTCCAGCCCCGCCCTACACACTGGCAGCGTGGCTCCCGGCGCTCTGTTACGCTGGGGCTCTGCGCCATTGGAAGGTGCGGTGCCCCCATGCTCAGTCTGTGGTCTGCCTTCAGGACGGCTCTGCGCCAGCCCCCACGCGGCCTGGC